GCCAGCACACCGGGAGCTCGGTGTCCTGACAAGCGCTGCATGGAAATCCACGTCTAGGGATTTCTCCTCCAGATACAATAGAGACATGATATGAAGCACACACAAGGTCACCTTGTAGTACTGTGTGGTTTGTTAAAAGGCTGGAGACAGTGCAAATCCCCATCAGAGGGGGCAGTTAAATAATGGCACACCCGTAGAATGGAGTAGTGTGTTGTATAAAAGAGAATAAATCCTATTACAGGGAACTGTGCCTACCCATGTTTACAGAAATACAGTTTGTAATGGTTAGATCTTGGAAACATACGTATATGTCCATCAACAGATGACTGGATGAGGGAAGTGGGATATCTGTATACAATGGAGTACTACACTGCCATAAAGAAGGGCAAATTTGAGAAGTTACAGGTAAAAGGATGCAACTTGAGAACAATGATAAGTGAAATAAGTAAGACACACAAGCTCAAATATTGTACTGTTTCTCTTAGATGAGAACAAAATAGGGGCTGGGGATTTAGCTCAGCGGCAAATCACACATTTCAGGGTTTCAAAAACATTGTAATATTTGATCATTTGTTTCATTTATGCTCTGGTTTATCTTAGATTGTTGAAAGGAAACTTTTGTGTTATCTTTTTTTGTAAGAATCTTTATTTTTATATCTTGTACTCTGGGTAACTACTTTGAAGATAACAATATGCAGTATATTTAGCTGTTGTTGTTTGCTTCTTTGTTGTGCATTTTTTATAAATAAAATTTTATAAGAGAATAAAGTTTTTTTAAGTACTGATCTGGACAGAGTTCTGTACGGTTGAGTAAAAACAAGTCAAGGCGTGGAACGGTGCAAGCATTATGCTTCCAGCTGTGTCTTTTTTTAGGAGAAAATAATGTACATTATATTGGTTTATCTGTGCAACAAAAATATACAGAAGGATTAATAAAAAACTAATAACTGATCATCTGCTAAGAAAAGTGGAGAACAAGAATAGAGGGAAGACCCTTCATGGGATACTTTTTTATATTTTTAAAGCCAAGTGCATGCATTCTGTATGCAACAATAAAATAAATACCTTCCAAGGAACAAGTGAACCAGTAAATAAGACTCAGTATCCAAGAACATAAGACTAATAAAAATCTGTGCTGGGGCTGGGGATTTAGCTCAGCGGCACAGCGCCTGCGTGGCAAGCACAAGGTTGTCAGTTCAATTCCCAGTACCGGAAAAAAACCAAAAAAAAAAAAAAAAAAAAAAAGAAAGAAAACAAGCTGGGTAATAATAGCTAACATTGGCAAGCACAAGGTTGTCAGTTCAATTCCCAGTACCGGAAAAAAACCAAAAAAATAAAAATAAAAATAAAAACCTGTGCTGCGTGCTGAGCACTTCCTAGGGGCTCCAGCCTGAAGACAGGAATTGGTGCCTGCGATACACAGTGCACGGTTATGGAAGCCAGACCTAGCGGGGCCTGTGTCTCGGCAGCCCATTGGGCAGGGAGTTAGGCAGATCCACCAGCCAGGACTGCACCTTCCGATTCCATTCCTGTCCTTCTGTCTTTGGCACCCTCGCTCCCTTGGACCCACCAAACCTGCGTTGAAAGCAGTCATTCTTGTCAGTCACCTCGGCTGGACAGGGTCAGCACGGACAGGAAGGGAGTTTCTTAGCAGCAGGTCCTCCCTTCCTTTCCTTTAAACCCCAACCCAGAGCCGGCTCCTCCAGGAAGCTGCTTTGGTGAGCACACAAAGCCCAGCCTCTCCCAACCTGGGGAGAAGACTGACAGGGGTGCTGTGTCTCCTCCCAGCAGGGTTCAGGCCTTTTACCTCTCACTGTTCTCAACCCCCTAACCCCCACATCCAGCCTCCAGAGAAAGGGCAGTTCTGGCCACACCGCCCAGGGAGCAAGACAGCAGAGAGAGGACACACAGCCTCTATCTGGGAAGGCCCCAGTCGGGCAGGGTAGGAAATCTTCATTGCCAGTTGCTTTCCCACCCAGGCAGAGAGAATGGGGCATATTCTCTGTTTCTCAAGGAGGTAGGCTGAGGTGAGGACAGAGGCGCCAACTGGCTAGTGACCAGGTAACCTAGCAGCTCCCTCCTCTTGTAACGCGCTCTGCACACTACATTGCCATCTGCCAATATTTGACTTTTCTGAACTGGCTCAGTGTCTGATTCATCTCTGAGTCCCTAGCCAGGGAGGAGAATAGGGCTTGGCAAAGCCAAGGAGCCTAGAGTTAGGAATTACCATGAAGGGCAGAGAAAGAAAAGGACGTGCCTGAAAAGTGGCCTAGTTCTAGACCTCAGGGTTCCTGTCTTCAGCCTAGCACCCTTTCCTCAATTTCCCTCTTGCAAAGTAGACCACCCATTCCAAACCTGTGTGCAGTGGGGCAGCTACCAAGAAGCGGGAGGAAGATGGAAGATCTAGGAGCTGGGAACTACACTCAGTTTTCCTGTTCTGCACAAGTTTGCTTCCCGTTGGAGCAAGTGCCTCGCAGGCGCCAGAATCTGCCTCTCCACCAGCCCCAAATAGCTTCCAGACAATCCTGGCTTCATTCCAATCATTGCCTTTTCAAATCAGGTACTTAAAAGGTGGCCAATAGGTGGCGCTTTTATCACCAGAAAAATGGAAGTAAAGTAGGAGGATGGAGTATAGGGAAAGAGGAGGCAGTGTAAGGAGGAAGTCGAAAAGGGAACCTTAAAGGTGAGGAAGCAAAAAGCCTGCCACTTAGCTTGGGAAGATACCTTTCCAGAACAGAACTGTGGGGGTGGAAATATTGGGGTGAACTGAGGAAGGTTATTGATGCCTGGTTTTTTACATACAAGTTTCTACCTCCACTCACTTCTTCCTTACAAGAAGAATGACTTTGGAGTCAAGTCCCAAATCAGTCACTTGGCAGTGTGTCCTTGCTAAGTCGCTTGACTCATGAGCACCAGTTTTATCATCTGTAAAGGCAATGATCTGCACCTCCTATAAAGGAGAGCTAATAATTCTAATAATGCCACTTGTGCATCTCAGAAGTAAACTGCACTTGGTGTCTTTTTGTTGTTCTGTTTTGTTTTTGTGGTTTGAGACAGGGTCTCCTTGAATTCATGGCAATCCTCCTGCCTCAGCCTCCCGAATGCTGGGATTACAGGTGCGCACCACCACGCCCAGCTAGTGTATTTCTGTATTGCACACATGGATTCAACTTGCTGGCACTGTGTTTTGCTGGAGAACTTGCATCTGCTTTCATATGTGAAATTAGATTGTATTCTGTGGGCTCACCTCTTCATCAGGTTTTGATAGCAAGTAAACTTGGCTGACTTTCGTTTCTTCTGTGTTCTGGAATGACTCATATAACTAGAAAACTAGGTTCCTTGGTGGCTCCCTGGAGTTGACAGGTGAACAGGCTGGCAGAAGTGCCCTCTGGCTGGAGCAAGGGGTGATTTCTCCTGACAGTGTTTCTTCTGTGTTCCTGGATTTAGTGAGATCCCTTTCTCCTAAAGTCAGTCAAGCCAGACCAGGACTCTCTGCCAGACAAATGACCACCCTAAGCTTTTGAGATCAGCATGAGGCTATTATTAATGAGAAAGTGTGCAGCCTCAGTGAATTCAGAGGATTTTAGCCAGTGACTGATTCTGTGGTTTTGTTATGTCTAATTTTCTCCACCTCTACCAAACTACCATCCTTCTCTACCTGAATACTACAGTACCTGAATAGTACAGTAGTCCTTTAACTGGTCTCCTTAATACCATCTCCATGGTGTACCTAAGGCTATGAAATTTCCTCTGAATACAAGTTTGGCTATATCTGTCTATCTGTCTGTCTATCTATCTATCTACGTACTGTTGAGAATCAAACCCAGGAAGGCAAAAGTTCCACTATGGCTGGCCTTGGTGGGGTACACCTGTAATCCCAGCTTTTGGGAGGCTGATGTAGGAAGATCACCATGAGTTCAAAGCTAGCCTGGACTACATAGTGAGTTCAAGGCCAACCTGAACTACGGAGTAAGACCCTATCTCAAAAAACAAACATGGGGGCTGGGGATATAGCTCAGTGGCATAAGCACCTGCCTGGCAAGTGCAAGGTCGTGAGTTCGATCCCTGGTACCGCAAAAAAAAAAAAAAAAAAAGTTCTACTATGAACTATATCCTCACCCTTCTCCTGCAGATTTTGTGCTGTTCTCATTGTATTAGTTTATAAATAATCCATAGTTATAACTCTTCTAAGCAAAGAATCATTTATTTAGATAAGCATTTTTACCTTTTTAGCTCCTTCATTTGATGTGTGATCCAAGAATATAGTCTTACAAATGTAAGAATTTATGAAAAACTTTAAATGCTGTTTTCACTGCAGTAAGAGTCCAGCAAAATAGTAAAAACAAAAAAATTTAAACTGGGCGGGGGATATAGCTCAGCGGCACAAGCGCCTGCCTAGCAAGTGCAAGGTCCTGAGTTTGATTCCCAGTACCCCCATATGTAAACCATATTTGAGGATCATCTAAATGACTTCTTTATAACAGAAATCTGGTGAAGTATTCATTTGCACTTATTGTCAAGCAGTGCCACTTTAATCTTGAGATGAGGCAAAAAATAAAGTAAATTTTATAAGTAACGGGCCAGTCTGTGGGTGGCCCACTACATGAAGAAATGTTTCCAGTTTGTTCAAAAGAGAAGGGGAGGTTTTGTCATCGCATAGCTCAAGACAGGCCAAACCCCAAAGAGCTACTGTGGAGAACTGAGTGCCGGGCTTATGTGGCAAGTAGCTTAGTTTTAGCAAAACAGTATCTTCCTTTACATATGAGTCATGCTACGAACTCAAACTTGGGTTTTATTCCTGCTTGAGTTTCATTTATAAAAGATTTCAGCAGTTACATACGAAAGAGAAGCCTGAAGAATTTGTAACAGCACATACCGAGTAACATCATTTAACAATTTAAACTCAACACTGAAGGTCCACAGAATTTTTTTCCTTTAAAAGTAGACAGTAGTAACCTCTTGTATCTTGCAAAATCCTGCCCCTGCCGCTCTACTTCCAGGTTCTCTCAGAGAAGCACGTGGACAGAAAGCAACCCTGCCTCTAGGTGGAAGAGTTTCTGTACTGCTCGTTTTTTTCTTCCCCAGGTAACTACCTGCCTTCCTAGGTCCTACCCCGAGCTCTGAAAGTTCCCTGAAGGAGCTTCTGTGTTGTCAGTGTCCATGCCAGGGGGGTCCTTTTTGTATGTACCCAGTGTGTGCTCCATGTGCTGGGTTTCTGTTGACTCCTTTCTAGTTGGATCCAGGAGCCCCTTGTATCATCCTGGACCCTAAAAAGCCACTCTTCCCATGTTCCAAGCCCTCCTAAGTCTGGATGCAGCCCCCGTCCAGGGACCCTCCTGCCGGCCTTCCTCTTATGAGGCATTCTCAGCAGTCTCCCTGCCCTCATCCTGGTACCCAGACGCACCCTGGCACTGAGCCATCTTCCTAGCTTCCCTGCAGGTAACACACACTGAACTGAGAAAATACCTCCCATTCCCAACACCCTCCCTGCCCACACCCCCATGAAGTCTACAGAAACACAGCTTCAACTCAGATATTTCATTGTCAAAGTGTATGCTTAATTTCTCATGCTAAAACAATCACCTTTGTTTAAAATGTAGTTTCCAGGACAATTTGCCTCTACTGGAACAGGGGAAGACACCAACAAAAAAAAAAAAAAAAAAAAAAAAAAAAAAAAAAAAAGAAAACTAGGACATCCAGGAAGCAAAAGATTCAACACAGGATAGAGATGGAGGGAATTCCCACGATAACCATGAAGGGAAATTCCAGGCCCACATCTTTAGGGCAGACAAGAAAAGGCATCAGTCCAAGTTGGAGCTCGAGGATGGAGTAATCTGGGAAAGATGCGCCCAGGAAGGCAAACCACAACCACCAAAAGCAATGATGGATTTCTTGGTAAGTTTGACTTCACAAAAAGTTTACCATGGTGCCACTGGAAGGTATGGGAAGATTTAGCGGTGCGTACAAAGGAAGCTGAGCAAAAGGGGGAAAGAGAGTATTAACTGAAGGAAAAGTCATAAGCTGCATACGAGAAGTTGTAACCACAGTACACTAGTAAACTTACCAGAGAACAGTGTTCTACAGTAATAATAGTGTAAATGCTAAAAACTGATTTAGCGAAAGATTAGTGACTTGGGTGGGAATGGAAAGTAATGGAGATTTTAGAGATAACTGATTATCCTAATAGAAACTTAATCATTAGGGCTGGGGGTGTAGCTCAGAGATAAAGGGCATGTCTAGCAAACTTGAGACCCTGGCTTCAATCCCCAGCATCATAGAAAAGGAAAAAAAAAAAGTCCTAGGGAGAAGTTTCTTACAGGAGTCCAGATAAACTCAGGCACAGAGGCCTGCTGATTTACTTTATTGCTGATTTACTTTATCTGACAAGTCGACACTACCTCAGACCTGGTCCTTACTACATGGAGCTCTCTCTCACGCTCTCAGGACCCTCCGCGCTGACACCGGACACTATTAACCACATACAACTGCAATCCAGTTTCAAGAGAGAGGAGAAAAAGCATAGGAATATGGAAGTATATTCCAAAAGAAACAGGATGAAAGCAGATGCTCAAAGGGAAAAATGCAGGATTCCTAAGAGTGAGGCAAGATACCACTGTATGACTTTTCTATATGACTTTGGTTTTGTTTGTTTTGTTTTGTCTTTTTGAGACGGCTTCACTTTGTAGGCCAGGCTGGCCTTGAACCCTCAGTGATCCTCCTGCCTCAGCCTCCTGAATACTGGGACTACAGATGTGTGCCACCATGCCTGGCTTGCTATTTGACTTGTAAGATTAAGGATTGTGTGCTTGTTTTGATTTAATAAAAATAATAATTAATCATTTAAGATGTGTTTTCAGGTTAAAATGACTTCCAGATTTCTATAAGCATGAAGGGGCAAGTATTTGTTTAATACTTCTGAAGGTTCCATATAGACTATTTTCTACCCCAGAAGAAGATAGAATATTAAAATCTCACTTTTAGATGAAAAGTGCTTGCTGCTTTTTAAAGACAGAGTTGAATTAGATTTTCACTCTCATTTTGGTTTTTTCAACATCTACCAAAGTGTCAGAGTTTTTAGAACACTCTTAGGACATAGTTACTCTGGGGATGCAAAGTATCTCTTATTTGCATCTCTATTGGGCACAAAGACTGGTACACAGCAAGCCCTTGATGTTGGATAAGTGAAAATTAAAGAGGCATTTTAAAACATTGTTCTGATTTTCTAGCTCAGCAGTGAGCTTCCTGCAGTCCCTCTCTCCCTGTCCTGTGAGCCACTAGAATTCTGGGGACCAGGACCAGCACGGTAGCAACAGAAAGGGAATTCAGAGTTCAGGAAACATCTTTTGGTTTCAGGGCAGGAACTGGGTCCTTCCCTCCAGTGAAAGCTTCTGGATTTATCAACAGGTGCTCTAAGGCAGGGGGAGCAGAAGTTGGAGCAGAAATCAGAGCAGAAGAAAGGCATCCAGGTCTCTGTGGTGCTCTACTTCTTACTGACTTTTGGCTATTCCCTGAGCCCAGGGAAGAGTGGTTTTCTCAACCAATGAGTAGGAAAACCGCCTCCATTTCACTGTGTGTAGGGTGGGGTGGGGTGGGGGATAATGAGGAATAAGACCTTCGAGCTTAACTACATCCCCAGCCCTCTTTTGTGTTTTATATTTTGAGATAGGGTCTCTAAGTTGCTAAGGTGCTCAGGCTGGGCTCCACTGTGTGATCCTCCTGCCTCAGCCTTCCAGACTGGGAGGATTACAGGCATGAGCCACCTCACCCTGCTCTTTTCACAAGTTACTATGAGAACTACAAGTAAGAAAGGAGAGGAATGTCCAAGTATTGTCCATTTGATCATCACTGGTTAAGTCAGGCACAGTGCTAGGGATTTATTTGTTCGGTCACTCATCAATATTAGGTGAAATGATGCTGTGGGCCAGAAAAGTGTACCCTTGCTCAAAGCAGGTAACAGCAGGGAGAATGGGGCATCGAAGGCGCTTTCTACCACACTGTGCACACTTCCTTCCCTTTCTTCTCTTCCCAGCTGCCTGCTGTGCCCCCTCACCCTGTCTCACTGCCCTGGAGCTTCAGATGCCTATATCTAGGAGAGGTGCATCGGGCATGAAAAACAAGCAAAACCATCCATCCTGCCTTCTGCATGTAATGATTCCCTTCCCTGCCCTTCCTGACCCTGAATTCAGGCTCAACTGGACCGGGAGCCATGGGCCAGGAAGCTTGGAAAAGCCTGATGCTTAGTGTTTGGGTCAGTCCCTGAGAGCAAACCAGGGCCAAAGGCCAGTTCCTCCCTTCGCTCTTCAACCCAGGTCTCTGTTTAGTGCTGCCCTGTCCTTGGTGCTGTGGACAGTCAGGAACCAGCTCTGGTCAACGCTGCCCTGTGGCACAACGCAGCAGGGGAGATACAATACAGGCATAACTGACCAACGCGCAGTCCAGCTCTAGAAGCGCAGAGCGGGAGGTGTGCTCTGCAGCTTGGTCTTGCGCCTCATAGTAGGAGCTTTGCTCTTTTGGACTGAGCCCCTGCCTGGACCCTGTAGCTTTGCTCCAGCATTGTGTGCAGACCAATCACCTGGGAATTTTGTTAAACTGCAGAATCTAATGACCCAGTGGGTCCGGGGTGGGGCCCGAAATCCTGTACTTTTAACAAGTTTCCGAGCGACATAGTTATGTGGCCCGTGCTTTAGGGAATCTAGGGCACTTATCTCATTTCTCTGAGCAGTGACAACTGGATTAACGCCACCTCCCAAATGGCCTGTAACTCTATGAGGCAAGGGATTTTGCCCATTCACTGACGAATCCCCAGTGCCTAGCACAACGCTTGGCACACAGGGCTCTCATCCCCAGGAGCTGGGAACGATCCTAAGCTAGCAGCACCACCACCACCCAAACGCATTCACATGAACATGTGCACACACATCCATCCCATCCCTACCGAGCTTGAGATGTTTTTGACATCTGATTAGGCCTACTATGTGCACAGCTATGGCTTATGCCTGCATCAATTTTTTTTTTTTTTTTTTTTTTTTGATGTGGAGGTCTCACTATGAAATGCATGCTGGCCTTGAACTCGATGATCCACCTGCTTCATCCTCCCGAGTGCTCGGATTACAGGCGTGCACCACCAGCGGAGGTTCAACACCAGGTGGCATTCCATGATACAAATTCACCAGCTGTCCCCCAATTCACCACCAGCACACCAAGCCCCTTCTGTTTAATTAAATCAGCTTTAATTAAAAAATAAGAATACCTTGGTGAGTCCTATGTTTTCCAGAAGACTGGGCAGACAAGGGGTCCAGTGACACACCCCACACCCTGCTCAGTCAGGAGCTCCTGGTGTGCTCGTCTCCAAGATCTAGAACTGTCCGCAGGGGCTGGCGAAGGGCAGCCAGTGAGGCTATGCGGGAGGGGAGCTGAGGACAGCCTGTAAGTGCGGGTGGGTGGGGTGGGGACAAACGGGAAACGAAGGAAGACCGGCAGCGAAGTCTAATCAGAAGTCTGATCTCGAATGTGCTGGCAAAACAGTAAATGGGCAGCTGGAGACCGGAAGGAAGCACCTGGGCTGGGGGCTCTGCTGGTGGAGGTGTCGGGGACCACTGACAGCGCGGCGCGGGGCAAAGCGAGGGCTCCCGGGTAGAGGAAGGAGACACCAAGGGCTCGCAAACTGGGAGGGTCGCCTCGGTCCGACGGCGGCACGGGGAGGGCAGGGAGGGCTTCAGCAGGTGCGCGCA